TCGAACAAAATAATTCAAACAAGGAAACCCTCATGTATATATCATATGTCTCAAGTTGTAGATACCTAAACATTAACACCAAACTAAAGATAAATAATCTAAAAAAATCAATAATTAGAAACCCACAACACGAGACTGGTACGTCGAGTAAAATAATCCAAACATAGAAACCCTCATGTATATACCATATGTCTCAAGTTGTGAATCGTTAATCATTGATCCCAACTAAGAAGTAAAAGAGAAGCAATACATGAAAGTAGACTACAACTCCAAACCTCAAACATGATGATCAAACGTTACAATCTCGGACTACCCGCGGGTAGTGACGTAGTCATAAGGAAAATATCATCTAAAATAAATATCTCCATAGATCATGTCATGTATTCCAAAAGTATCTGAATTGTACCCTACTCTCAGGTAATCTAACATGGGAGCAAAACTACATCTATGTATGTATGTATATATATATATATATATATATATATAACGATACTCTTGTAAGGTACAGCACACTATCGTGTGGAAATAACATCCTTACTCAATCGTTCTGCGACAATATGTATATCTTCCTATTCCGAATGATGCATCCAGATGATCGTACATCGGAGCGTAGGCATATCAGCCTAATCCGAAAAACCTCGATCATCTTCAAGTATTGGTACAGCAGTAGTCTTATTGCGGGAAAACACCCAATACTCCTGGTGTGGTACAACTGCGTTCTCATTGTGGGAAAACGTCCATCACTAAGCATCCACAACAAATGAATTATACATTATCATGTGTTATACCAACACTATCAACTCTAAACATATGATACGACTCAAACAAAACATGTATTCAATACCCACGCACGTATCTCGACATGCGGATCCACAACTCGTGTTCACGACTACCTCGTGTGTAAAATAATCAACAAATAGTATATTACAATGCATGTATATCTTTTATTTCAAGCTAATCGGACAACACTTATCATAATCCCCTTCGAGATACTCATATGTGTGCTACGACACTATACGTGTGTACTTAAGGCTGTACGTGGATCATCATGCGGCTCACACCCCGTGATCGCATCCAAAATACAAGCAAACAACACTCAGGAAACTCAAAAGAGGCAAACCGATTGACCACCTAAAGGCGCCGATCGATCGAACCAGGAACATGCACAAACAGAGATTTGCCGGTTGATCGCCCCTAGGGCGCCGGTCGACCGGCCAGAGAAAAAAAATTTGCTTTCTCAAGTTTTTAGTTTTGTGGATTTACGATATCATAACTTGTTCAAGAACAAAACTTTCTTATCACGAAACATGTAACAACACTTAAGCTTTGATAATTACTTAAAAAAATTATCTTGAACATGATTCAAACTCTTGGGTTAATCTAATTAGAGTTTAACAACCTAATTAACAAAATTCCTCTATTAGAACATGATTTCTTAACATGTTTAACATATGCTTGCTTGTAAAAATTCATAGATCAGATATAATTTGATTTAAATTCACTCATATTTCTTATGTTTCACAAACCTAGGTTTTAAGAATCTCTAATCAACATGTAATCTCAATTAAACATCAAATTAGGGTTTAAACATGATTAGAATACGATTAACAAGTTAAAAACAAAGTTTTAAACAACCCTAATGATCATGATCATATTTCTATTATAAACAGTAAGAAAAACATGTAGATCTAACACTGAGTTAAGATTTTATATAAAAAATCAACTTTTTATCATGTTAAAATTAGATCTAAGCATCAAAATAACCATATTACTTCATAAACACTTGTTTTAAACTACGGGTAAGCTTTGGATGCAGATGATCTTGCCTTAAACTCATGTGCAAGCCTCTGAAATAAACAACAAGCAATCCACAAGTACAAACAACCCGTTCTCCCTTGCCACACGTCGATAATCTCGCCCTTGTGTCGGTATTGTGCTTCACAAAGCTCTCAAAATTTATAAAAAAATATCTAGGGTTTTTGAGAGGAGAGGGTGGCTGATAGGATTCAGAAATATGATAAAAGAGAGGATTTTTTATGAAAAACACAGGTATTTATAGAGGCAAACCCGAAACAAACCCGTTTGATCCGAACCAGGAAACCTAGTCTGACTCGGAAAACTATCTTCGGTATTTTGGCTGTAACTTTCTCATCTAACCTCAGAATAAGGTGATTTAAGATTTGTTAGAAATTTGTTGAAGATACCTACAACTTTGATCTTTTGAGTTTTTTAGATTCCAACTGTATCATTGTGTAAAATACGTATACTCTTAATTGGTCGTTTTTCCATATTTCAGGCTCGTGTATATAGTGCATGATTTCACTTCTATATTCATATATATACATTAAATTAATCTCAAATCAATTTCTAGTATACTAAAATATTAATAAATATTATTTATCACCATATAACATATTTATTATTATTTATCAATATATTTTCAAATTCACAGGGTTTTACAAAACACAAAAAATCTATATAATGGTTAAAGTGAGTTAACCCTTCATAATTTGCTAAACATAAAAAATATAGAAGGGTTTAACTAACTCCTCTATAGGGATTAAAATGAGTTAACCCCTCAAAATGAGGGGTTTACTAATACTCCTATTTAGAATGATTAAGAATTAACCCTTCTAATTATAAAAAAATAGTCAAAATCATTGTTATTCCCAAACACTAAAACTGATCACAATGGTTAAAATAAAACTTATTTAACGAGTTTCAGATTATCGAATGGGCTAAGTACATTAATCATTCTCTTTAACCATTCTTCCTTAACCATTTGCCAAACGGAGCTAAGAGTTAACCCTTCTAATTGTAAAGAGATTTTTTCATATAGGTACTTAATCTCTCATACTTTTTGGACTTACCAACTCAAGTTTTAAATTTTGTATTAATAAAAAAGCTCCTCAAAACTCTTCTA